CAGCCATTTGTCTGAAATGGTATAGGGTTTCCTGCCTGAGCAGGGGTTGGACAAGATGACCTCCAAGGTCCTTTCCAACTTTATTATTATTATTATTATTATAACTGTTGTCATTTGTTTGTACTTCTTATATTTAATTTTAGTCTTGGGTTTCCCCCCCACCCCAGTTTTTTATTAGTACAGCTTGCAGATTCTTTGGACTTTCAACTACCAGGGTAGCATCATCCGCATAACACATTATTGGTATCTTTATTACTAGATATATTAATGTGTACATAAAAATACCATTGATTCCCTTTGTTCTTTTCAGTGTCATAGAGGGTTATGTACTTATATACTTATTTGTTAGATATTTTAGAGGTAGTCCTCAGTAGGTAGGTAGTCCTCAGTAGGTAGTTTTAGACATAGTCCTCAGCATGCTGCCTGCCTGCCTTTCCTTCTAGAACAGGCATGTCAAACTCGCGTCACCACATGATGTTGCATGATGTCACATGACATCGTGTGACGTATCAGAACTTTTTCCCCATTGCCAGTTTCCTCGTGACACATCCGGCACGTGGGCTGGCAGTTTGACACCCCTGTTCTAGAAGGTCTGTTTGCTTAGCAAGACACTTTCATTCATTCACCAGCAATGTTCAATCAAGTCTAATTATTAGAGTTACATGTTTTCTTGTGTTGTTCTGCTGAGCATGGAGCTTTTCTGGACATTCTTTTCTTTTGATCTCTTCACCTCTGAGCTCTGCAATAAGTCATTGATCTGCTGACCCTTCCTCCTCAGCATCTCTTCTCATTTTGACTTGACAAACACAGACAAAACTAGATTCTGTTTGAGACAAGAATGATGTATGCAGGAATCCAATCTGGGTTAGTCACCAAGACCAGAGGTTAGTCTTCTGAGCTTTCAGACTCATGCTGGAGCCCATCCTCAGGGAACGTCCCTATATCAGAATGTGGTAGGAAGAGAGAAGTTTCCTGAGAGGTGGGGAGGTCTATGACAACTTGCCTTGGCCAACTTGCCATGGCCAACTCACTGTGGCCAATTTGCTGCGAGACAACTTGCTGTGACCAACTCGCCACTAGACAATTTGTCACGGTCAACTTGCCATAGCCAACTCACTGCGGGACAAGAGTCACACTAATATCAAAGAAATAGTAGAGTAGAATCCTTAAAGTAAGGACACCAGGGGTGTGACAAAATGAAATGTAAATGGCAAAAATTAAAACAATTTTTAATTATTTTGAATAATTAAAATGAATTGTTGAATTGTCCCACAATGAGTTGTCCCATGGTAAGTTGGCCATGTTGAGTTGTCCTGCAGTGAATTGGCTATAGTGAGTTGGCTGTAGTGAGTTGGCTGTGACAAGTTGTCCCTGAAGTTGGGCTCCAGCACAAGTCTGAAAGCTCGGGAGACTAGACCTCTGATCTCAGTGACCAATCCAGATTGGGTCTTGCAACATTATCCTGGGACATATATATTTGCCTTTATTCGTGGAAATGTTGTATGCACCTCAATTGATTGCCCACTGCAGGGTAAAAATGACAGAGTGTCATGGTTCCGATAGATGAGACCGGTAAAACAAGGCAAAATGTTTCTTTAAAGAACATATTTATTTGGCTACATAGTATCGGCATGATCAAAAGTGAAACCAAGCCTGGAGTTCCCTCCCTAAAGTTACAAAGTTGAACTTCCCACCCCAGTAATATGTCATCAATCACTTTTCCCAATAATCTACTTTGGCGGGCTTTTTAACGGAAACTGCAGCCCACCAAAACTCAGGCAGCAATGACCTTGGTTCCCACAGGACAATTTATTGTTGTCTAAACTTAAAAGGACACATCCCTCCTTCCAATTCTGTGGCAACTGAAAACAAAGTAAAAATGGCTTCAGCCAAATTCGTTTGCAGCATTGACACTGAGATTTTATCGCAGTAGTTCTCCACTGACAATAATCCATTTATAGACAGTTCAAAGTTACAACTGCACTGGAAAAAAAAGGGACTTATGACCAGTTTTCACACTTAACGATTGTTGCAATCTCCCCATGGTCACATGATCAAAATTCAGCTGCTTGGCAACTGGTATGTGTTTAGGACAGTTGCCCTGACCTGGGGTAGTGTGATCTCCATTTGTAACCTTCCCAACCGCCTCCGACAAGCAAAGTCAATGGGGAAAGCCAGGTTCCCTAAACTGCATGATTCATTTAACAAATGTAGTGATTTGCTGAACAAATGTGGCAAAGAAAGGTCATAAAGTGGGGCAAAACTGATTTAACAACTGCCTTGCTTAGCAACGGAAATGTCGGACTCTGTTGTGGTCTTAAGTGGAAGACTATCTCTATTACCTTTACAGAATTGCTATCCTCAGTATTTAACTTTCTTACTGAATAATTGGTGATCAACACCTCTTGCTCATTCAGGAACAGAACAGAACAGAACAGAACAGAGCTGGAAGGGACCTTGGAGGTCTTCTACTCCAGCCCCCTGCTCAAGCAGGAAAACCTATACCATCTCAGACAAGTGACTGTCTAGCCTCTTCTTAAAAATCTCCAGTGATGGAGCGCCCATGATTTCTGGAGGCAAGCTGTTCCACTGGTTAATTGTCCTCACTGTTAGGAAGTTTCTCCTTAATTCCAGGTTGCTTCTCTCTTTGATCAGTTTCCAACCATTGTTTCTTGTCCTGCCCTCTGGTGCTTTGGAGAATAGTTTGACCACCCTCTTCTTGGTGGCAGCCCCTCAAATTATCTGGATATTTTTTTCTTAGACCATTTCCATTTCTGTCTGGCTTCAGTTTAAGCAGGCTTCCACATTTTCTCCCTCTTTTAAAAAAATCATCAGATTTTTAACTCCCCTTTCTTTCAAAATCTCAAAGCAATGTACCCGTACTCACGCCTGCAACAATTCCTCATAAGAACAACCTTGTAGTGAAGACAGGCCTCAAACTCACCTAAAATGTTACACCTGGCTGACGGTGGACAGGATGCATTCACTAATATCTCTCCAGTTTTTCTTTTTTATTCCTTTGATATCTTTTATTTTTCAGGAAAAGTTCTTTGGTGGTAGTTAATATTACAGCAATGACCTCTTCAATCTTGATGAGTGTTGAAAGTTTTGTCCTTGGCATCGAATTCACCTTTTTAGCTCACTTGATCACTGGATTATCTTTAGGTGGGTCCTATCCATGGATATAATAATTTAAGTCTTTTAAAGATTTTGGTTACTCGTCTGCTTTTATTTCTTCCTTTCTGCTCCACGGCAGATTGATGAGTGGCTTTCAATGTTCCATGAAGCATTTACAAGCCATCTAAAATCATTTTTAAAAGACATTTTGAAAAAACTCAAACACACAAATAGCAAGACCATTGGTGAATCCTCAATAGCAAGGGTGTCAAACTCGCAACGTCACGTGACGTGTTGCAACGTATTACAACTTTTTTTTGCCATTGCTGGCAATGAGATGGGCGCGGTTTTGCTATGATGCATCCGGCCCATGGGCCGGCAGTTTGACACCCCTGCTCAACAATGTCAAGTCAGTCTTAATGACCACACAGACAGATTTCACCTGAGCAATCGCTCTAGACAATGCAATTAATAAATATTAGAGGAGAACAAAACTGAATGATTGATGATTGCGGTAGAGAAATATTGATGATAAAACCATAGAAATGTATTTAGAAAGAAGGGTCCTTGGTGCTCTCTAAGCTTGCTTGTTTTCATGCAGATGTTTCATTACCCTTGAACTATGTGGGTGGGGCCGGTCTTGGGGATTCTTTTTTTGGGCTGCCAAACTTAGAATTTTTCTGACAGTTAGAACAATTAATCAGTGGAATGACTTGCCTCCAGAAGTTATGGGTGCTCCAACACTGGAAGTTTTAAAGAAGAGATTGGACAACCATTTGTCTGAAATATTACGGAGTTTCCTGATTGAGCAGGGGGAAGGGCTAGAACAGTGATGGCGAACCTTTTAGAGACTGAGTGCCCAAACTGCAACCCAAAACCCAGTTATGCATCGTCGACTGCTGGGTGGGTGTGGCCCATTGGCTGGGTGTGGCCAATTGGGTGAGCATGGCCAATTGGGTGGGCATGGCTGACGTGGTAATGGCAGACTGGGTGGGACTAAAAAGTTCAATCAATCAATTCCAACTTTGCAAGAACTTTTTTTTCCCGCAAAAAGTTGAAATTGACTAATTGACCCCCCTTTATAAAAACCAGCTGAAGGCCTAGGACTGGGGCGACGGCTCACATGCTCACAGAGAGGGCTCTGAATGACGCCTCTGGCACCCGTGCCATAGGTTCACCACCACTGGGCTAGAATATCTTCCCTTGCAATTCTGTTATGCTGTTGCTAAGAAAACAACACAGATATGACTGTCTGATTTACACAATCTGTGTGCCCAGTAATGTCACACCAGAGGGCAGTTCTCTAGCTATTGAGAAGCTCTGTAAACCTTCCATGAATAGATTATAGTGCTTGTATAGCAAGACCAAAGGCCACAGGGACATCTCAGGGCCTCACTTAACCAATGCACACACAGTCAAAACATAAAATGAAAAAGCCATGAACAAAGACTTAAAATTGTCAAAGCAGAACCCAAGTGTACTGAACTGGATGAAATAAGTGAATGTTGATGGACCACGTCAGGGAACTTTAAACCAGATTATTATAGGCTACATTGTTCTGGGCAGGAGCCCAGGCAAAAAAAATGGCAATGGACATTACTAAGTATGCAGCTAGACATGATCCAATAACAAGAGAAGTATATATTTCAGACAACTATTATTCCATAGGCTTCAATATTAGGAAAGTATATGCAAAGGAGGAGGGTAAGGAAATAAATGAGGTGCCTATATGTGTACAGGGACGAAACTGTAATTCTTTGATATGCTAACTTGGCACAAAATGTCTGCCATCAGAATATAACAGGGAAAAAACATATGCTAAAAGATAGGGATATACCGAAACCATTTTTTTCCTGAAAAATATTTTTTGATGTCTTTGAGTCATCATTGACTCCTGGCAACTGTCTGGGCAAGTCCTTGCAGTTTTCTTGCAAGATTGCCATTGCCTCCTTCCCAGGGCTGAGACAGAATGACTGGCCCAAGGTGGTCAAGCTGCTTTCATGTCTTAGCAATAGCAATAGCATTTAGACTTATATACCACTTCCTAGTGCTTTACAGCCCTCTCCAAGTAGTTTACAAAGTCAGCATATTGTCCCCAGTAATCTGGGTTCTCATATTACTGACCTCAGAAGGATGGAAGGCTGAATCAACCTTGAGTTGGTTAGGATCGAACTCTTGACAGTGGGCAGAGATAGCCTGCAATACTGCATTTTAACCACTGCACCACCACGGCTCTTACCATGGGTGCCTAAGCGGTTTACAGAGTCGGCATATTGCCCCCGAACAATCTGGGTCCTCATTTTACCAACCTCAGAAGGATGGAAGGCTGAGTCCACCTTGAGCTGGTCAGGATCGAACTGCTGGCAGTGAACACAGTTAGCATGCAATACTGCATTCTTACCACTGCGCCACCTTGGTTCTAAGGCAGGACTAGGACTGACATTGACTCAGTGTTTAGACTGGTGCTTTAACCATCACACCAACATGGTTCTCTAATTTGTAATTAGAAAACCATCTCCCTTCAAACTGTTTTGTGGAGTTGCAGTTCAGCAGACTCAGAGTTGAACCTTTCTGTCTCTTTTTGGCTAGCATAGAAAATTAATAACTGACTTACAGAATGTGACTTTTGGATATTTTTTAAAGGAAGATGTTGCCAATAAATAAAGAATCACAGCAGAATTGAATGACATTTGCAAGCAAAGATATGCCTTCTGAACATCTGCCTCTTACCAAATGAATATCTTTGACTCTGCTCCAGCCTAGGATTTGAAAACAACATCAACCACTTTGTGCGCGTGTGCGTGCATGTGTCTCCATTAGGAGCATTTCAGAAAGAATTTATGTAGGAGGACAGTTTTTTGCAACTCAAGGACTTCAACAAATCTCTTTCAAAGTACTCTCCTGCGGGAGAAAAAATGACTGAACTCTGCAACAATTTTGAGATACATTACATCTTTCCAAAATATTTGAATTTCTCCAGAATCCAGTTTCTGGCCAAATTCAAACTTCTGAAATTTCACTCCCTTTTCAAATCTGAACTGGTTCTCTTTGGTAAAAAGATGCACACAGCATCACTTTGTGTTAAATAAAAGGTGCCAATAGATGGAATGGGACAACTCCCCATGGCCAGTTCATCGTGGCCAATTTGCCAAGGGTGACTCGCCATGGCCCACTTGTCATGGGAACAGTCACTGTAGGACAATTTAGTTCAGTTTAATTATTTAAAATAAATAAAATAAATATTTTAATTTTTGTCATTCATATTTTATTCTGGCCTTCCTTCTATTCCACCCTTTCTTTGATATTAGTGTAATTCTTGTCCTGCACTGAGTTGGCCTTGTTGAGTTGGCCGTGTTGAGTTGGCTATGGTGAGCTGGCCATGGTGAGTTGACCACAGTGAATTGTCATAGACCAGGGGTGTCAAACTCGCAATGTCACGTGACGTGTCATGACGTATCACGACGTTTTCCCATTGCCAGAGTTGGGGTGGATGTGGTTTTGGCATGACACATCCGGCCTGTGGGCCGGCAGTTTGACACCCCTGTCATGGACCCACCAATAGATTTTGAACGGGTTGCTTCTGATGTACACTGAACCAGATTCAAAGGTATTTTGTACCACCTTGACAAGAGTGTTTTAGGGTAATAGAAATGGAAATGGCAAGACGGTGGACATTTCATGCACCATTAATCTGATCATACATTTCTGTGCGCAGTGTAGTTTGCATGTTGTGAATTGTTCTTTGCTTTCTCTTCCAACCAGGTTTCATTTTAAGTATTGTTCCCTTATATGTGGGTGAAATAGCCCCCAGGAATCACCGAGGAGCCCTCATTTTCTTACACCAGTTCTTTTTAAATATCGGTATCCTGATGGCTCAGATACTTTCAGTAAAGGAAATCCTAGAACTCTCAGAAGGTGATTTGAAGAAATGAATGGATACCCAAATTGTTGTGAACTCAGATCAGGGGTAGGTAACCTTGGCTCTTTTATGACTCGTGGACTTCAACTCCCAGAATTCCTGAGCCAGCCACGTTGAGGGGAAAGGGAGAATTTCCAAGCTGAGCCATGCTGGCTCAGGAATTCTGGGAGTTGAAGTCCACAAGTCAGAAAGCGGCCTAGGCCTAGGCCAGAGGTAGGCAACCTTGGCTCTTTTATGACTTGTGGACTTCAACTACCAGGATTCCTGAGCCAGCATGGCTCAGCTTGGAAACCTCTCCTTTTCCCCTCAGCATGGCTGGCTCAGGAATTCTGGGAGTTGAAGTCCATGCGTCATAAAAGAGCCAAGGTTGCCTACCCCTGACCCAGATCAATAGCGTCTGTAATTAAATCCATAAAGTCTAACTTTATAAATACATACAGGTAGTCCTCAACTTACGACAAGCCAGCCCAAAATTTCTGTTGTTGTTAAGTGAGTTTTGTCCCATTGAATGATCTCTCTTGCCACAATCATTAAGTGATTCACACCAGTTGTTAAGTTAGCAACATGGTTGGTAAGTGAATCTGGCTCCCCCCGTTGACTTTGCTTGTCAGAAGGTCGCAAAATGGGATCTCATGACTCCAGGACACTGTGACTGTCATAAAATATGAGTCCGTTGTCAAGCATCTGAATTTGATCGTGTGACCACGGGGATGCTACGATAGTCATAAGTGTGGGAAAAGGGTCATAAGTCACTTTTTTCCCCAGAACCGTTGTAACTTCAAATGGCCACTAAACAAATTGTTGTAAGTTGAGGACCACTTGTACATAAGAACGACACAAAATCACAAGGACCAAATAATAAATGCTGCTTTAATTTAGCAGGGCCCCCAAGAGGAACTCTGAACCCCTCTGAACTCAATTTTTGGTCTTAGGTTTCCTACTATTCAACACTGTTTGCCCTATAAACACTGTTTGGTACAGAAGATGCCTTGGTTAGCCAGCATGGGAAACCTATCAATTTAGAAACAATGATATTGCATTGAGATGATGAGCTGGAGGAGGCAAAATGACCCCAGTTAATGGCCTGCTGCTGTTAGAGGCAACAATTGGTTGTAGAAGAGTATTTGATTTATACCCTGCTTTTCAATCAGGAGTTCAAGGGACATACAGAGCATTCCCTCCTCCCACCCCCCCTGAATAATTTTGTGGAAGAGGTTGGGCTGGGAAAGAAACTAAATAGCTGCGGGTGTCTGTGGGAGGATTAGAACCTGGGTCTTCCTATTTCTTTAGCCATTACACTACAGCGGCCCTCAGTGGTAATGTTTGAATGTGGCCCATCCACTTAGTAAGAAGAGCAGCGTGATCCAAAGTAAAAAGTGGTGTGCTTAAAGGGAGAATGGCCTTGTCAAACATGAGTCAAACATGGACAGCTGTGATTCCTCCTCCAGTTTTAAATGGGCTTAGTTGGCCCCTAAAGAGAGAGAAGCAAATTGAAGTGGGGAAGCACAAATACTTCCGAGGATGAGCGAACAGTGAATTCAGGCAAGGCCTGTGTTCTCGATCTGGAGAAGTCCCCTTTGGGCTTATAGTAGTTAGGTGTCACCATGATTTCTTTGCTACCTGTGTGTCACTGTTCAATATTCTGCTGCAGGTTGGTCTATACTGATGGGTATGGTAGGGCTTCTAACCTTGGTTCAACTGTTTCTACTGCCCTTCATACCTGAATCTCCGAGGTACTTAATGATTTATAAGAGAAATGAACCGCAAGCAAGAAAAGGTAAAGTAGATCTCTAAAATGAACATTGCACATAGTGGGCATAAATATTAGTGAGAAGGGTAGTGAAAAATTCATACCTTTTGCTTTTCTCGTGGGGTCTCACATAGATGTTTGCAATTCCTATGATATCATTAAGATAAGTCAAGGCATGCAAAATTGATATCAGTGTTTTTGTATAGCCGTCATTCCAATATATTCTGAACTGGTCAGACCCCAATGTAAGTTTTGTGTCCACCTTTGAGTTCCATCATATAGGCCACAAATAGTCTTAAGTTCTAGGAAAAGAGATTCCATTTGAAACTTTTTAATGGTATGAGATTTGACTTGGGGACCAATTAGGCCTAGCAAAGAAATTCTCTTGCAGTTCAGCTAATGTTCATGATGACTGTGGAAAGAGAAGGTTAGAAAGAAGAAAAAAGAAATTCTGGTTAGAAATCAAGCATGAAACATGTATAGCACTCTATAGCACAGGGGTCCCCAATCCCTGGCCCACACCCCATCTCTGATCCTTGAGCCATTAGGAACTGAGCAATGGAAGTGGTGGACGAGTGCACACATGCCTCCCCACTTGCATGAGCATGTCCTGTGCACTCCATTTACGTGATCCCAGCATGTATGATGCTTGCCCGCCACTTGTGCGGAACCATCCCCTCTCCCCTCCCCCAGTTCGAGAAGCTGAAAAGATCGGGAAACTCTGCTACAGTGTATTAAAATATAATAACAATATGACGTTTTACCATAGATGTGCTATGCTAGCAGAATATCTACAATCCACCTTCATGGATCCATGTAAATCCATGTATGGGCCTTTAGTTGACTTCCAAACTCTTCTCTCCATGCACGACATAACGTACAACACTTGTATCTCTCTTCTCTGAGATCTTAAGGTGGACTGTAGCTACTATTTTGACAGAACCTCTAGTGATCCCTTCTGTTGCTGTTAAGTACCAGGACCTGAATTGCTCTTAATAGCTAATTTATTGTCTACTGTACCCAAAGTGAAAAAGTTGTCAATTCTAGGGAAAAGATCTGAACCCCAAAGAATAACATCTGATTTCCCTTGCCTGGTGAGTCTCAAACTAGCTATGTGGTGTTTCTTGAAAGTCAATATAACATTGACATTTGCTGGCTATTCATGACTTGTTATTCACTTGTATTTCCTTCCTTCCTTCCTTCC